TGTCACTATGCAACTACCTCCCTTATGAGGAGCCCAGCCCTGGAGTTTCAACGGGAACTTTGGCTGGTGGGCCCCCAGAGCACCTGCCTATGCCACCCACACGTTGATCCTTCGCTGAAGCTGGTCTGTATGCATTTGGGTAACAGGCACCGAGAAGCTTCTGCTTGAGAGTTCTGACTTCTCACCTGGGCACCAGAGGGAACAAAAAGCAGGGGGAAAGCCTGCCTCTTCCTCTTAGAGTCTGTCTGTCTCCCTTGTTTAGATCAATCACCCACTTAGCTGCACGCAGACATGATAATTATTGTAAGAGTGTCTGCAAACACCTAAAGCTGGGAACTCCTAAATACCTCATCCCCTTCAAGACAGAAAGCGCACCGCTAAGAGTAATCCCTCCAGGAATCTTCCTGTCAGGGTCTACAAGCCCTAAAAGGCTTGGTCCAGGCTTGGTTCTAAGTCAAAAGTCAGCTTGGATTCTAGCACCAGCAGAGCTTCCCACAAGCATTGCCTTCTAAGCAGAAAAGACTCAGCTGTGGGGAAGGTCCCTGCCAACAGTAAGGACTTCTTCAGCCACCTTGCAGAACGGAGATAGTATCAACTAGATCACACACCAAGACCGCTTAATCCCCTCTGTGGCTCTGGAACATCAAGGAAGAAAATAAGAATAGTATGGTATTAGAATTTTGTATAATTTAAAAAAAAATTATAAGAGAAGCCAGAGACAATAGTGCAAACCTTTAGTCTAGCACTCAAGAAGCAGAGGCAGGTGGATCTCTGCAAGTCTGAGGCCATCTCTCCAGCCTCAAGATGGGGCATTCCTGAACTCCAGCAGGAATGGTTAGCTACTTGCTTCCACGCGGTCTGCACAAGACTGGAACCATCAACATACTGCCAGGGAAGGTGTAGGGAGTTAGGAGGACCTAAGCGTACCTCGGGATCTGTGAGTGGTTAACGGTGGTTGGGGAGAGAGAGAGTCGTTCTGCTCAGTCGTGTAGCCGCTGGTAAGGAGTTTGTGCTTTTCCTTTCTTTCTTTCTTTCTTTCTTTCTTTCTTTCTTTCTTTCTTTCTTTCTTTCTTTCTTTTTCTTTTTCTTTTTCTTTTCTTTTTTTTTGCTTTTTCGAGACAGGGTTTCTCTGTGGTTTTGGAGCCTGTCCTGG